CAGGTCTGCCAAGCACCAAAGCTGGGTCTACTTATCCGTGGGTCTACTCATACTGCTGTTACCTTGGGCTAGGAATAAGATAAGAGGAAATAGCTGTTGGCTGGTGATTCAGCTGGGGGCGTTTGTTTACACATCCCGGGAAGATTCTGATTCACAGGTCTAGAAAGAGGTATCCCCAAGGGAATCGGCATGTTTTCACGAGCACCTCCGGGACGACGCTGACGGTCGGGGGAAATTGGAAAGCATCGCCCTGGCCGTGCCCGCTGGGTGCCAGGCTGCTTCCATGGCCAGGCTTCCTCACGGTGCAACCCACTTCCAGTTCCGGCAGAGTCTGAGTCGCTAACAACAGTGACCGTCAGCCAGTGCCCTTTTCACTGCCTTTCACTTAGATGACTTCATCTGAGGCTTCAAAAGTCCCAGGAGGTAGAAGAAAGCAGTATGAGTAGACCCACTTGTAAGAAACGTGCCAAAGCTGGAACAAAAGCCTCGCTATCAGAACATCCAAATTCGCCATTCTTCCCACTCCCTATCTCTTTAGGAAAGTGCTAAGTGATGTCTGTGAATAAGGAGGCCAATTTTAGGGGCAGGAGCCCCAAAGCTCCACCCCCGCCTCCCCTATGCACCCTCATTCCTGTCGGAGAGCCTCCCCCAGCCCACCTTGGGGCATGAGAGTTCCTTTGAGTCAGCTGTGCCCAGGCCTGGGGATGAATGAGACTTTGTCCCTGCCCTCCAGTGGGGAGGAAAAGGCATATTTATTTACCTCAGGCTGCATGAAATGTGAAATGCCTCAAATGCCTCTGTTCAGTAAATACAAAATCCTCTGAAAAAAGGCAACTTCTTTGAGGAAGTTAGTGATAAACACTTGGGTGGAGCAACCTTTTAAATGCTAGGTAATCAGGCGGCTATGGGAGGAATTAGTGGAGCCCTGGGGCTGGGTTGGAGGGCACATAGCAACAGAGAAAGTTCTCCGGTTCCGCAGATCCAATTACGTTTCCCCTACCCACTCCCTTCAGGATCCACCCCCCAGCCCCATCAGTCACTGAGCTTTAGCAACTCCAGTCCTGAAGTAAACTCCCGCCGATTCCTTTCTTTCCCCCACCCCTCTTCCTGCTGCCAGGGATGTGACTTGACTTGACTTTCCTCCCAGGCAGGGTTGCCAGAAAATGCAAGGTGCTCAGCTAAATTTGAATTTCAGGAAAACAACGAATACTTTTTGAGTATAAGTATTTCCAATATTGTATAGGACAATGGGACATACTTATACAAAAAAAATTGCTTGTGGTTTGTCTGAAATTCAAATTTAACTAGTAGTCTTCCGTCTTTGCTTGCTAAAGCTGGAAGCCCTACCCCAGGGCCCCTGCCAAAGCCTCCCGCAGTCTCCCAACCTTTCTCAAGACGGCTGTTTTCTGGCTCCCCATTGCCCACAGGGTACAATCTCAATTCCTGGCCCCCCTGCCTCCTTGCCCAGGCCTATTTCTTGCCCTTCCTACCCCACTGCACTTGCCCCCCACCCCTCAATCCTAGCTCGCTGGGACAATGGGCCCTAAGCCCCTTGCTTCAGACACTGTTCCCTCTACCCGAGAACCTTCTCCCCTGCCCCTCCTCCGGCTAGGCTAATTCCTAACACCCCAACATTCAACTCAGATGTCACCTCTTTGGAAGATCCTTCCTGAACCCTCACTCCACTCCCCACCCGGGGTTAGGAGCTCCTTTCTCTCCGATCCCGAAGAACCAAGTCAATATTTCTTTATCCCAACCCTGTCAAACTGTCAAACTCATAACACTGTGGTGTTTACCAGCTCCCTTGGATTGTGAGTTTCTGGAGAGCAGGGGCTGTGTCCTTCAGCTCTGTTATCTCTATAACTGGAAATTCCTGTCTGGTTAGCAAATAGTAGGGGCTTAATCGATAACTTTACAGATAAGGCCCTTGGTGAAGAGGAGAGGTCATTATTGCTGCCTCTCGCCAGCTAAGCACTGTTGCTCTGGGCCAGGGGCTTCTGGTATTATTTTTGAGCCCATGACCAGAAGGCGGGTTCAGGAGGCAGCATGCAGCGAGGCTTGTGTGGGACTCGTCTGTGTGTGCTCCATATTCTACTCCCCCACTTGGGCAGATGTGAGGCCTTGGTGATTGCTGGCTGGAAAATGAATCTCCTTGGAAACCATGCTGGCAGTTCTAGAAAGTGGAGGGCGCTTTCCAGAGAAGGGGCTTCCTATGGTTTGAACGTTGGTGCCCCCGGCAAATTCATTTGGTGAAACTTAATCCTGGGTGCGACAGTGTTAAGAGGTGGGACCCTGAGGAGGTGATTGCATCATGAGGGTGAACCCTCAGGAATGGATTCGTGCCCTTATAAAAGAGGCTGGATGTTGTCTAGTCACTCTAATTATAGTTTCTTTGGCTATGCAGAAGCTTTTTAATTTGGTCAGGTCCCATTTATTTATTTTTGTTGATGCTGTGATTGCTTTTGGGGTCTTTTTTATAAACTCTTTGCCTAGGCTGATGTCTCTAAGAGTTTTTCCCACATTCTCTTCTAGAATTCTTATAGTTTCCTACCTTATGTTTAAGTCTGTTATCCATCAAGAGTTCATTTCTGTGAGTGGTAAGAAGTGTGGATCCTGTTTCAGTCTTCTCCATGTGGCTATCCAATTTTCCCAGCACCACTTACTGAAAAGGGATTCTTTTCCCCAGTGTATGTTCTTGTCTGCTTTGTCAAAGTGGATTAATAAAATGTGATATATGTATACCATGGAGTACTACTCAGCCACAAAAAACAATGGTGATCTAGCACTTTTTGTATTATCCTGGATGGAGCTAGAGCCCACTCTACTAAATGAAGTATCACAAGAATGGGAAAAAAGCACCACATGTACTCACCATCAAATTGGTACTAGTGGATCAACACTTACATGCACATATGGAAGTAACATTCACTGGGGATCAGGTAGGTGGGAGGGGGGAGGAGGGGACAGGTAAATTCACACCTAATGGGTACGCTACTCATGGTCTGGAAGGGGCATGCTTGTAGCTCTGACTTGGGTGGTGCAAATGCAATAGATGTAACCCAAACGTTTGTACCCCTGTAAAAATTTTGAAATTAAAAAAAAAAAAAAGAGGCTGGAAGAAGGCTGTTTGTTTCTTCCTTCGGCCATGAGAGGATGACACTAGAAGATACCACCATCTATGAAGCAGAGAAAGCCCCCACCAGACACCTAATGTGCCGGTGCCTTGATCTTGGATTTCTCAGCCTACAGAACTGTGAGCAATAAAGTTCTATTATATCTAAATCACCCAGTTTAAGGTACTTTTGTTTAGCAGCCAAAATGGACTAAGACAAGAGTCAAACTGTAGAGAGCATGGAAGGATGTCAGGATATCTGGCCAGATTCTGGCTGTACAGTTCACCTAGGGCTCTATTTCTCTAGCAAGGGGGAGACAGAAATTGAACAGAGCTGTACTTGCTCTTATGAACTCACACTTTGGGAGGAAACTTCCTAAATTGAGATTTGTGTCCCATAGGAACTGGAATTACATTGAAGGGTTGGGTAGCTGGGGGGGGCTAGCCTACCATAATGTCCACCACCCTCCTAAATAACTCCTACTTAAATTATATCTATCCATACAAATAAACATACATAGTGTGTATGTGTTGGGGGCACCTTTAAAACCATCTCTATTTTAATTGGTCTGAAATATATAATCTAAGGGGTAACTTCTTACTATGCTTACTACAGCAGGGGCATTCCTTTCACTTATGCTTACTATGCAAATGAGTCTCCAGGTAAATCCACAGGCCCCTCCTACCTAAAGCCTGCTCTATGAAAGAGCTGGACTGGCTAGTACATGAAAGTGCTTAGTGATGGGTTTGGTTTCAGGAGATGCTCAGGTAGTCTCAGACTAGCTCTATTAATTTCTAGCTGTGTTTTGTCTAGTCAACCCTGTCCATTCAAAAAGGAAAATGTCATAGCACAAGATAAGCACTTTAAACATAGCTGTTCAACCACCTGCAGCCTTGGCGTCATGGAAAGAACGTAGACTTTGGAACCACACAAACTTGGGCAAGCCGGAGTGACGTATCAAAACTTCCAGAACCCCACTTCTTCATGGAACCGCTACGGCATTCTTCACTGGGTGGCTATGAGGATTGCAAAGCCCCCATCTCCCGGTTGTCTGCCAACAGTAGTAATCTACATCTCAATGCAGGACTCCAGGAAAACACCAGCTTTCCTGGTTGAAGGAATTTCAAGCAGAGATTCTAAGTTCCATCTCCACATTTGCATATTAGAAGTTTTAAACTTGAAAAGTTCATTTAGCTTAAAAGCACGGAATTTACAAGGATATTCATCTCGGATTTATTCATAATAATGTAAAACTGGGAAACAACTTAAATATCCTCCAGTAGGAAACTGATTTCATAAATTAGTCCAGGCACGTGATGAAATATCTTGCAGCATTAAAATTATGCTTTTGAAGACTATTTAGTGACAAGAAAAATGTCCATGTGGGGGATGGACAGGCTCGAAGCTCTGACTCCGTGCGGCAAGGGCCATATATGTAACCTAAACATTTGTACCTCTGTAATATGCTGAAATAAAAAAAATTAAAAAAAAAAAAAGAAAAACGTCCATGATAAAATGTTGACTACAAAGAAAAGCAGCAAACAAAACATCACACACTATAATCCCACTCTAAAAAACAAGTAAAATACATAGATAAATATAATAGGCAAAGAAGCACCCCAAACAAGCGCTTTCCCCTGGGAGTTAGGAGGGGTGGAAAAAGTTATTTTCTTCCTGTGAGTTTTCTAAGTTTCTATCAATAACTCCGTATTGCCTTTATGGGCTCGGCACGCTTCGGCTTCCCAGCCGTATTACATTGCCTTTAAATCCGAAAATAACCACCGACGTTATTCATAAGCGGTCGTCGGGGCCACGCGAAGCGCGCGGACCAGGGCGGACCCCTGCGCCCCCTGGCGGCGCCCTGAGGCTCCGCCCCACGGGGCAGGAGCGACGGGGCGGGGCGCGGAGCCCAAGCCCAGCCCAGCCCTGCCCGGGCAGGATTCGCAACACCCGGAGGCCTGGAACGCTCCGTCGGGAACCGCGCAGGCAAGCCAAGGGGCCGGGGCCGGAGGAACTGGGGACTGTGGGCCGGCGGGGACAGGGCCAGAGCCGCGGTGGCGCAAGGCTGGGGTCCTCAAACTTTCTCGGAGCGCGCGGGCGGCTGGGCCCGCTCCCGGGGCTTAGCTTCGGGCCGGGGCCCAGCCCAAGGAGCCCGCGCCAGAATGGGGATCTCTCGCCCTGACCGCTGGGGGTTTCGCTTTCCCTGTGCTCCCAGGGTGGGCGGATGGGCGTGTGGCACCTGGTTAGCCTTGGTAGCTGAGCTGCGTATTGTGGGCACCGGAGAGCGGGCCAGGGTCTGGGGGTGTCCTCATGTCCCCGCTTACTGGCACGAGTGGCTTGTCTGTCGCAGGGCGTGTCCACCATGGCAGCCCCAGAGTGGCCAGCTGTGTGTGGGATGGGGACTTTCATGGCCCTCACTGGTGGGAAGTGCGAAGGGAGACAGCCCAGGTCCTGGCACCGACCCCACGTTACCCCTGCATGGCCTGGCAACAGTCTCGGTGTGGACAGTGAATATTTAAGGGGTGGGGGAATGCAGGGTCCTAGCTTGGAGTTGGCCGTGGAAGCCAATGACCAGCCTAAGGAGCAGCAACCATTGTCACCATGACTTTGCCCTCGGCCAGTCCTGCTTCCAGCTGCTGCTCCTGGGCTGGGTTCAGAAAGCTACAGGGAAGTGCCATCCTCCTGGTGACCTCTTTGGGTGAGAGTAAAAACAAAACAGTGAAATGGGGAAAAGGAAAGCAAGTGGAGAAGACTTGGGCAGGAGCCAGGGAACAGTGAGTGGGAGGAAGTAGAGGGAGGCTGTTGGGAGGTTTGGCCCAGACCTTGTGGGCTCTGCACCAGTTCTTGTCCCTATGGGGTCTCCATTCTCCTCACTCCACTGTGGCCTCCGTGTGGTACCCAGAGGCTTGGGGTTCTACCTGAGCACCCTGGATGGGGGATATGTGGGGGCCTGGGAATGAGGGTCAGAGCCAGATGTCATGGAAGGGCCCTCAGGTGTCCAGTTCTCTGGGCTCTGAAATATTCATCTCACTGGTGAGCTTTGGTTTCAAAGCTGGTGCCTTTGGCCTGGCCAGTGGTGGCAGGGGCGCCGGGTGCTGTCTGGGGCAAAGGGAGAACCATACTTCTCCTCATCTGCCTGCCTTCCCTGTCTCTCCAGTCATGAGGACCCAGAGAACTGGTTTATAGCTTAGAAACACAACGTTGGGGCCCTGACTGCCTCCGTCTTCTTGTGCTGTGACCTCAGGGCCTCACTTGTAAAAAGGAGCACGTCACAGAGGTAATGATGGGTTATACTGTAAGTGTCAGGAGAACTTCATGTCATGAGCTGGGGTAATAGCCGTCTCGGCTCAGCCTCCTCCCCTGAGAATGGGGCTCAGCCAGAAACTGTCAACCTCAGAGCACCTCCAGCCCCAAAACTGCTCACCCTGGGCCCTCAGAAGACACAGAGAAGGGACACACATAACTTGTGTGTTTTCAGAGGGCTGAACTGGGAGGACCAGAGTGGAAGCTCATACAACTCTCTGGGAGGAAGTTCTGCTAACAATATGGCTGGCCATGATGGGGCCTTCTGGATGTATTCTGTTGGGAATACTGTGGAAGGGTTGACCTTCACAGAATCTGCCAACCCTAAGATTCTGGGATTCTAGGCAAAAGCCTGAGACTTGCTTTGAAGTAGAAATGAAATCCTTTTTGTTCTAGTAGAGTCAGTAAAAAAAAACAAAAAACAACCAGAAGTCCACAGGCCACAGTGGTACCTGGAGGGTTTTCGATACATTGGTCGGGGATACTGAGTCCTCACTCTGGTATAATGATTTGTACTTCTCTATTACACAGAGGTGAGGTTAGGGGGTACCAGTTTCCTGGTTCTATGCTAGCTGGCATGTCCCCCAGCCCTTGGCAATAAATCCCACTATAGAGGTTATAATAGCAGATGTCTGGAACAGGGCAGAGGGGAGGACACCTGCAGAGGATCCTGGCACTGAGATGACTCCCTGAAAGAGGGCATGCCTGGCACTTAATGCGACGGCTCCGAGGGGCATACTTGGTATTAGCACAGGGTTTTAAGATATAAGGAAGCTGGACATGAATTACTGTCAGGGTTCGGTCTATCTGTAACGCAAGGAAGCCTGGATTAGCATCCCACAGGAAGTTAACAGGTGCACCTTGATGGAAGTGTTTCAGGCTTAAGGAAGTTTGAAGGAACACTTGGTTAAACACAGTTGGGCAGATTTGCTTACTGCTGGACTTCTGAGGCAGAATGTGCCGCTGTGCCTTGTGAATTTCCAGAAGGGGATACAGACTGTTTTTCAGACTCAGATATCTGTTTCCAGAGCTTATCCATTAAGGTCTCCTGGGGCGTGACAGTATGGGAAAGTCCTGGCTAGGTGATTCTGTCTCTCTGCTTTCTGGTTCCAGTAAACCAGTCCCTATTCCTCTGCCTCATGGGGGTTGATTTAGGGATAAATGGAGGCCAAAGGAGGTTATTTGCCTGGATTCCCACAGCTAGTTAATGACCCCAGGTCTCTTGACTTCCTGCCTTATTTCTACAGTGTTATGCTGTTTCTCTGTAGGCTCTGGGCTAAGTGAGCACCAGGAGGAGCTGGCCAGGGTCCAGAGGGCATTATGGAGGCAGTTTGGGAGGGAGGGAGTTACAGCTATCCCCATACCCAGAACATGCCATGCACTTCTGTCTCTGTGGATGTCCTCCGACCAGCTGCACATCAGTAGTGACCCCCAGTGTCGCCTGGGAGGTGTGTCATTCTGCCCTGAAGCCTTCTGTTAGGCAATTCATTCAGAATCAGCAACTGGCAGAGTTAGAGTGGCCTTTGATCTTTCTGCTCAGCGTACTCATCTGAAAAACTGAGTCCAGAGATAGGAAGTGGTCTACTGTGACTCACGTCACACGATGGAGTCAGTACCAAAGCCGGGACAAAAACTCAGGTCCCTGCCTCCTAACCCAGGTTCAGGCATCAGATGGAGCGACTTTCCACAGGGAAAGGGAATTGGCCTCAGCAGTACGCTTGCTCAGCTCCCTTCTGCTGTTTTGATCCCGACCGCCTCACCCCTGCCCCAGCTGCTGCCTATTCACACAGGTGACTGGCGGGGGTGTCTCAGGGGCTTCTGCTCCAGCGGGTGTAAAGCAAAGGGGTGCACTTTAAATCAGACGTCAGGTCTGGATTTAGACCCATCTCTGCTGTGTGCCTGCTGTGGGACCTTAGATCTGGTTTTCTCTGAATGTCGTCGACAGAGCGGGGGTAAGAACACCTACCTGACAGGGCTGTAGTGAGGATCAGATGTGCCGTGGTTACTACAGGTCGAGTATCCCTCATCCAAAATGCTTGGGACCAGAGGTGCTTTAGATTTTGGATATTTTCAGATTTTGGTATATTTGCGTTATACTTAAGGATTGAGCATCCCTAATGTGAAAATCCGATATCCAATGCCCATTGGAGCATTTCCTTTGAGTGTTACATTGGTGCTCAAAAAGTTTTAGATTTTGGAGCATTTTGGATTAGGGATACTCAGCCTGTACTTACTTAGTTGCTTAGTAAGTACTTCTAGTACTTACTACTCTAAGTAGTTCTCTTCCCTGCCCATCCCCAGTTCTCCATTGCGGGCTGTTAATTATCTGTTGGGTTGTTAATTATCTGTTGAATTCCTCTGCCTCTCTTCCCTCCTCATCTTGAAGTTTAACTGAAAAGAAACACAAACGAGGAGGCAGATAGGGCCTGCTTTTCTGGAGTGGCAACCGCCAGCCAGTTAATGGCTTCCTTTTCCTTATATGAGCTCCCAGGCCATCTGACTCCTGACTTGGCTGGAGTCTCTGAGATTACCACCCTGATGACAGGATTCTGCCCCCAGAGACTAGGGTGATGGGGGACCTGTGGTGCCTGGGTCCTCCTTGGAGCCTGGAGCTGCCCCTCTGTCTCCAGAGAGAGGCTGCCCTGCCTGGCTAGAGATGGGGCTGGAGGGTGGGGTGGAGCTGGGGCGGGAAGTCCTGGGCTGGCAGTCTTTATCTACTGAGCCAGGAGGTCACTAGAGAACTGGGGGAACAGTGGCTTGTTCTGGCTCCTCCTCAGCGGGGCGTGTACTTGTGTCTGTCACTGAGTTCTCCGACAGTGGGCAGGGCCGGGAAGGGAAGTTCCAAACACATGACCAAGAGGCCCTGGGGTGGAGCAGGAACTTTCTTGGCTCTGGGGTTTCCTTGTCTGTCAAATGACCACATGATTCCGTAAGTCCATTTCAGCTCTGATATTTCAGTTTAGGTCCCTCCGGTTTCATCCTCTTGAGTTGGGCAGGTAAAGGAAAAGGGAGGGAAGGAAACAGGAAATGTCCGAAAGATCTGAGCACAGCGGCAGGAGCTCTGCGTTGCTGGGTGGGGTTTCCTGAGATGCACACTCTGAGCTATTCTTTCCATTCTGGCTCTGGGCGACCGTCCCTGGCAGGGAGGAGGGCAGGCTGCCTGGACCTGTCAGCTGCTCCTTTCCATCCCTCCCTCCAACACACACCCCCTCTTGCTATAACCCGGTAGCTCAGGCCTCCTCTGCAGATTCCAGAGCCTTAACCCCACAGATGCCCCCAGAAAAGCCCAAGCCGGGGCCTCACCAGGCAGAGCAGGGTCACTACACCCAGACGGCTCCAGGGCAGCAGAGGCTTCTCGCCCTCGCACCTGAAAACCTGACACCCAGCCCGTCCTGCTGTTTGAGCCCACCCATTTCTGCTGCCACCATGGCTGAGTCTCGGGTCTTACAGGAGAAAGCGGGGACTCTGGTTCCTTCCTGATGGAGGACTGGGGCCGTGAGAGGAACAAACTTAGATCTGTAACGGGCAAGGAGGGGCAGGGTCCGAATGCCGCAGTAACAGGCATTGTGAGGGGGGACAGTGATCTAGAGATTCAGGCTGCTGCGGACACAGCTGCTTGCTCCCTGCCGCTGGAGTTTGTTCCAGTATTAGCCAAATGCCTACTGTATTTCAGGAAAATATGGGCTTCCAGTGGGAACCGTAAAGGTCCTTTTTAGCCCCTGGAGACTCTGAGTGCCTCCAGGAGACACCAGCAGAACCCCGAAGCCCTGATGTCTGGTCTTTGGGCATCGTCCTCACTGTTGGGCATGACCTCCCTGCCCTTTGCCCTCCTTCCTTCTGTTCTCCATCTTTTCCAGCCCCCACCCTTAGACACAGCTGGGAGAGTAAACCCGGCTGCTTCCCCCTTTCCCTGCTACCTAGACAGACGGCAGCCCCAGACCTCATCCCTAGTGAGGTGGCCAAGGTACTCACGTAGGTGGGAGCAGGCTGGGCGCAGGCTGTGAAGCCGCACGCCTGGCAGCCTGGGCCCAGTGGCTCCTGTGGTCAGACAGTGTTTTTATTTTGGCACTGCTCAGAGGCAGGTGTGGCTGTGTTTAGAAACTCCCCTGACGGGCACTAATGCTGGGGGTTTCCTCTCTTGCGCCCAGCTGTCTTTACACCAGAGAGCCAGCATCCCGTCCTGGCCCCAGGGCTAGCTCTGTGACCAAGGATAGGTCACTCTGCCTCCCTGCACTGTGGCTGTCTAGTGGGTAAAGTGAGGTGAGGGCTTGACTTGCCTCGGGTGAGGGAGTTTCCTTTCAGCTCTGACCTTTATGAATCTGTAGCCCTGGACCACCCTCTTCTCCTTGTGCTGTGGGACAGGGTTTGAGCCCTGTGGCATTGTGGAGGGTCTTCCATCGTCACAAGAGGGTCTCAGATGGGGAGCCCTGGTGGCAGTGATGAGAAGCTGGAAGGACAGGGTGCCCAAGTGAGGGACTAGGAACAGGGCCTGGGGAGTCAGTCTTGGGCTTCCAGTCTTGACTTCATCCCACCCTAGCTAGGTAGCCTTGGCCGAGTGACTCTGTTCTTCTAAGCCTTAATTTCTTCATTTGTAACCAGCCTGAGCAAGAGCGAGACCCCGTCTCTACCAAAAATAGAAAGAAATTAATTGGACAGCTAAAAATATATAGAAAAAATTAGCCAGCCATGGTGGCGCGTGCCTGTAGTCCCAGCTACTTGGGAGGCTGAGGCAGGAGGATCGCTTGAGCCCAGGAGTTTGAGGTTGCTGTGAGCTAGGCTGACGCCACAGCACTCTAGCCCGGGCAACAGAGTGAGACTCTGGCTCAAAAAAAAAAAAAAAAAAAATTTCTTCATTTGTAAATGGGAATAGTAATAACAGTACTCACCCTGCTGGACCACTGTAAGGATTTAATGAAAGAGTAACTGAAAATAGCCAACATTTATCCCTGTTTACCAGGGGTTAGGCATCATTCCTAGTGCTCCATGTGTATTTTTTCATTTAACTTTTAGAAGAAGTCTGTGGGGGGTACTATTACTAGTGGTGAACCTATTTTCCAGGTGAAGAAACTGAGGCATAGTGAAGTTCAGTGGTCAGTGGTGGTCTCTGGTGTAGACAGGCTGGTGGCTGAGGCCCCAGAGAACTGGAGTGGGACCTGTTGTGTTCCCAGCAGGCAGGCTGGAGAATTCCTCTGACACCAGAAGCGTGAAGGGGAGGGCCAGGAAGTGCAGGGGGGCATCTCTGTGAGTCAGCAGCCTGCAGAGCTGGTCTAGAAACCCGGAGCCCTGGCGGCCCACCCCAGGCTGACCCTTCTCTCCCTGAGTCACCTCTCACCCTTGGTCTGGGAAGGGACCTGTTTGCCCTGCGTGGCTTAGGGGTGGGAGGGAGGGGCAGATATCTAGCCAGGCAGAGGGCAGGCCCTGTGTAGCCCAATTCCCAGGACCAAAGTCTGTTGTCAGAGCTGGCAGTGGGCTCAGAGATCATCTGGCCTGCCCCACCTCATTTCACAGTGGTGCATCCCAAGGAGGTGAAGGGATAGGTCACAGTGACATCGTGGTTTCCTGCCAGTGCCTCTTGTGCCATGTTCACCCAACCACCTGTATACTGCCTCTCTGATGATGGATGTCAGACGGGCCTACGGTGCTGAGCTGATGGCAATAATGACAGACACCCTTCCTCCAAAGGTGACCTGCCCCACATCCCTTCCTCCAAACAGGACACCATTCTTTTTGCGGAGCCAAAAGTGTGTTTTCACAGGGGCCGGGTAGAGGGGTCCCAGGAAGGGGAGCCTCTTGCTGCAGGGGAAGAGAGGGCCTGGCTTCTCTCTCTCTTTTTTCTTTTATCCTATTAAGAGAAATCACATAGTACAACTACTTAAGATTATTTTCCTACCCTGACATAAACCAAGCCATTTTCAGAAATAGTTCAAATCTCTGCATCTTAAGCTCCCAACACTCCCTGTTGTGTTACTTCGGGGTGTTCTGCCCACTGCGTGGCGTCTCCCCCACTGCCCCCTGGGAGGGCACTTCTTATTTCTGACCTGACTTACTCGCCCTTGCTCTGTCCCATCTGCTCTGGGGAGATGGAGAACAGCTTTCCTCAAAATAACTCACTTAGGGACCTGACCTGTCATTCGAGCTCCCTTCCCAGCCCTCTGTGCACCGTCCCCTCTCCGTGTCATCCCAGTTGTCACGAGAGAGAAGAGATAAGACGGTCCTCATCTGATTCCCAAGCTGCACAGGGTGTCCTAAAAAGAGAGGCGGGTCTCTCTTGCTTCCAGCAGAGGCTGTGACGGATGCTGACCTGGGCCTGGGGTATCCTCCCTGGGGGTCCTAAAGGTCTGGCCCCTGGGGGATGCACTAGGAGAGGTGGTGGCACTGTCAAGGGGCTCAGACTCTGCCAGGGCTTGTCCTTACCAGGGACACAGGGGCCTTCCAGGGACCTCCTCCTTAGCTTTTCCCACATCTCCAATTCTGCCACCTCAGAGGGTGACGCCAGGCCGGAGGGTGTTTATTTGGTGGAGAAGGCATAAGAGCACAGCGTGACATAAAAGACGGGACCCGGGATCCTGAAGGCCTCGAATCAGGTTATGCCACTAACCTGCTAGTTCAGTGATCAGGGCGTCACTTCACTGTTCTGAGCCTCGATTCTCTCATCTGAAATGAATGTCTGGGGCTGTACAACCTCCAGGTCCCTTTTAGCTCTGTTTTTGGGGTTCCTTGCCCGCCCTGCCCCCTGGCTGTGGGGCTCTTCCGGTCTTGTGGCCTGACTCCTTAGCTCCTGCTCCCCGCTAGCCACTGCCCTGGGGGAAGGCAGGCAGAAACCATAGTCATTCCAGAGACCCTGGGATTGCAGATGTGTGTCTCCCCCTCCGAGGGGGGTTCGGGGCCCTGCACTCACTATCCATTCCTTAGCAGGGCCAGTGAAGACAGCAGCCACAGTCACGGGCTGCCACATGCCTTTCTGACACACCACAGCTATTATTTGAAGGAACCAGAAAGTCCTGTCTCAGGCCTGCCCTTTGGTGCGGCTTCCCAGCCCCCACGGCCAGCTCTGTGCACCCTCCTGCCCAGCCTCTCAGCTCCCCTGACTCAGCCTGCCCTGGTCCACTGGTCCACTGGCCCCTTCCTCCCTGGGGCCTGGCAGCTCTGGCACTGGGGCTGGCTTGTTTTCCTCCTCCTCCTCCTCGCTTTCTACTTTGAGCCTTGGCTCTGTCCCAGCTCTGGCTTTCAGGGCTGGTGTTCTTGGCAGCTGCCTTGGGGGTGGGGCTGACCCTTTCAAAGGGTCCCAGCTGGCCCTGTGAGTCACCAGGAGGCTTCTTCCCTGGTTCTGCTGTCAAGCCACCAACACTGGAAGGTTTTCTTTGTTTGTTTGTTTCTTTTTTTTTTTTTGAGACAGGGTCTTGCCCAGTCACCCAGGCCAGGGTGCAGTAGTGTCATCATAGCTCACTGTAACCTCAAACTCCTAGGCTCAAGTGATCCTCCTGCCTCAGCCTCCCAAGTATTTGGGACTACAGGCTCGTGCCATGACACCCGGCTAATTTTTGTATTTTTAGTAGAGACGGAGTCTCGCTCTTGCTCAAGCTGGTTTCAAATTCCTGGCTTCAAGTGATCCTCCTGCCTCGGCCTCCCAGAGTGCTAGGATTACAGGTGTGAGCCACCGCACCTGCCCGGAAGGTTTTCTTAATTGAGAACAGGGAGTCCTAGGCTGCCATGTCCTTGCCTCTCCCAGCACCGAAGCTCAGCAGCTCCTTTGGGCTCTGAGCTGACCCTCCTCCTCCTGCTCTCCCAGGGCCAGGGAGGTGCACAGTGAGGAGAGGCGCGAGGGGCAGGGGCTTAGCTGGTGGGGAAGTGGCCTGTGGACAGTGAATGACAGGCTGTGATCTAGAGAGAAAATAGGGGGGTCTCCTCCGTGGACGCAGCCTGGACTGGGCTGGAAGGGGGCCGGTGGCTGGGGAGCTGGGCCTGGGCACTCATGACTATTGTCCTTGTCTCCCATTTCAGGTCCCTGCAGCTGGGGTTTCCCCTCAGCCCTTGAGCACCATGTCCAACCCCAGTGCCCCGCCTCCGTATGAAGACCGCAACCCCCTGTACCCTGGCTCTCCGCCCCCTGGGGGCTACGGGCAGCCGTCCGTCCTGCCAGGCGGGTACCCCGCCTACCCTGGCTACCCACAGCCTGGCTACGGTCACCCTGCTGGCTACCCGCAGCCCATGCCCCCCGTCCACCCGATGCCCATGCACTACGGTGAGTGAAGGGCAGATGGCGCGTGGGTGGGAGGGGTGACACTAGGAGCAGATAAGGCCACCTTTCGTCCCTGTCTCTTGCACTTCCCCTTTGATCCCCCTTCCCAGCATCTGTTTAGAGCTCTCCTGTTTGCCGTGGTCGCTACCCCCCTCAGCACCTGTCCCCCAGCCACTTCATTCAGCAAGGACACCGAGTCCGTGAGACTCGTACCAGAACCTACACCCCAGAGGAGACAGTGTGGTTGGGTGAAGCAACGACTTCCGAGCGTTACCCCAGGAGACCATTTCTGTTTCCCAACGCGGTGCCTGCCACCCACCCAGACTCCATGTCTTCCTTAGCAACTGCCTTTGGAACCCAAAGCACTTTTTTTTTTTTAAATTAATATTAATATCCTTGGTGCTGATAGATCCTCATCCTTTAAGGTAAAATTTGATTTTTGCAAACATCCAGAAGTTATTTGGAACCAAATCTGGAAAACATCATGGCAGGTAAATGCTATATTTGGTCAGAAATGAGGTGAGATTAGGATGCAGTGAGACTCCTTTCTTGGGTGGCTCACATGCGGATTTGGAAAGCACTTCCCAAAAAGGCGTTCAAGGAATGTTTGGAGCCCCTGCAACATCTCTGGAATCCTGGAGTGAGTGTCCTGCCAACTCTCATCACATGTGTGTGCTGGTGTGCACCTCAGCGTGTCACTCATAGTTTACAGTCACGCATACCCGTGACGCGTCTGTTCTGTGAGGCCAGGTGCAGACCCGGTTTCGCCCTGGGTTCCCCCACCCCACACACATGCCCTGCACTTTGCTACCCTCCTTTCCTCTGACGCTCCATCCCCGCGTGCCCCACTCTGCCCCAGCCAGCTGCACCCACTGAGGCTCCAAGGCCTGCTCCCGCCTACGCTGTGACCCTGCCGCCTGCCCTCTGTGGCGTGGGCTGGGCACAGATGCATGCTGATGGAATGGCTCACACCTAAGCCCTCTCCTGACAGGCCAGCTCTGGGTGGCTCTGAGGGCATCTAGAGGACCCTGCTTGGGCGAGGAGTTCCTGCGTTATAACACTTGTCTTTTGGTTGGAGATACTTGAGACCTTGTTTGAGACAGTGTCAGGGAGGCTTTGGGATTGAGGCCACATGTCCCAGGTCCCCAGTTGGTTATGTGTGATCTATCCCTAGGCCCGGGCCAGGGCTATGATGGAGAGGAGAGAGCAGTGAGTGACAGCTTCGGGCCTGGAGAGTGGGATGACCGGAAAGTCCGACACACCTTCATCCGAAAGGTGAGATGTGGGCTGGGAGGCAGGAGTGCCTGGGGCCCCGCAGGCTGCGGGGCTCAGTCCCATGGAACATGGCTGGCTGCCTGCCTTCTCCTGCACCCTCCTCAGAGGGGGCTCCTCTAACCCCAGTGTTCCCCTCCTTTTGCTCTTCTCTTCTTGACCTTGTTTTGGAAGAGCAGATTCAATCTGGCAGCACCTCCTGGGTGGCCTCTGCCAAAGTGTTCCGCCTTCCCCAGACATCTCTCTCCCGTTAGACTGTACGCAACTTGGAGCCAGAAATGACCAACTTGCTCGTAACCCACCCTCCCCAGCTCGCAGCGGCACAACACGTGCAGACTGAACGCTGAAGTGCAGCGGCCACACGGGTAGAGCACTGGCAGCGAGGCAGGGCGAGTCGGTAGTGACCGAGGCAGGTGCTGGACAGGAGGGGGAAGCCAGGGAGCCCGAGTGTGGGCAAGGAAGAGGTGATAGAGCCCCTGAGTCAGGCGCCTCTCGGGGTTGCCTCTGGGCCAGGCTGCAGCTGGGGAGGGCTCCAGAGTGGGAACAAGGTAAGAGCAGATCCTTCAGCATTAACAAACAGCACCTCCCACCACTAACAGGACAGAGAGTGGCAGGGGTCCGGTGGGCTTTGGGTTCCTTGGTCTTGGGGGATGGCGGCTTCCTGGGAGGGGCCGGGGTGCAGGATGGTGACCCCCGTCCCGCCTGGGCTGCCTGTGTTCCAGGTTTACTCCATCATCTCTGTCCAGCTGCTCATCACGGTGGCCATCATCGCCATCTTCACCTTCGTGTGAGTCTCTAGGCCCCACTTCCTTACCAGCCCTCGGGTGTCGGGGTCGCCTGCTGGGAGCGGGGTTGTGTGGGGCCCGCTCTCAGAGTGACTGTGGGTGATTAGAGAAGACGGAGCCCTGGGCTGCCTGGCGGGCTCGGTGGCGTCACACAAGCCACGGTGTGACTCCTCTGGTGCTCCCCGCCCCGCAGGGAACCGGTCAGCGCCTTCGTGAGGAGGAACACAGCCGTCTACTACGTGTCCTAGTGAGTGGTGCTCCTCCCTGCCCAGGGCCAGGGGAGGCGGGCGGCAGCCTCCGTTGCTGGCTGGCCAGCTTTGCTGGGGGCAGGATCAAATGCTTTCTGAGAGGGGCCCCCCAGGTTGCCGGTGCCAGTGTTTCATGCTGGGAAGTGCAGGTGCGTGTGCCCAGATGAGGCGGGCAGACTCCTGGAACTCACGAGAGCGGGGGTGGGGCACTCTGGTGGCAACATGCTCGCTGCACAGCGGTCCTCACCGCCTCAGCTTCTTTCAGCCTGCCTGCTGCGGCCTCCCTAAACCGTCCCGGCCCACACCTGGTGTTTCAGAGCTTCTCAGTGCCCCTGGCTGGGGCGGTCTCATCCTTGCTTCCTGCTGAGCAGCTGCCCGCAGACCTCCAGCTTTTGGGCCTGCAACCCATTGGCCTGGGGCTGCTGCCAGGCGAGGCCGGGACGGGGTGAGGCAGGTTTGGGCCTGTAGACTACTCCCTCGTCTCTTTCTCCCCAGTGCTGTCTTCATCGTCACCTACTTGACCCTTGCTTGTTGCCAAGGACCCAGGTGAGTCCCACCTTAAACAATGAGAAGGGATGGAAGGGGGTGGGACAGCGGCCAAGTAGTTTGGGGAGAAAATTCCCAATATCAGATTCCTGATAACAGTTGAATGGAGACTTACAAGAAATGATGATGATGATGATGATGGCAGCTGCTGTTCCAGCGTGTGAAAGGACCTTGTGTGTACGGGATCTATCTAGCTATGCAGCTGTCATTCTTATGGCAACCCTGCAAATATGAGGCGTCTTAGCCATTTGACAAATAGGAAGGTGGCAGAGCACCATGGCTCACGCTGTAATCCTAGTGCTTTGGGAGGCTGAGGCAGGAGGATGGCTCAAGGTCAGGAGTTAATTAAGACCAGCCTGGCGGGGCACGGTGGCTCACGCCTGTAATCCTAGCACTCTGGGAGGCTGAGGCGGGTGGATCGCTCAAGGTCAGGAGTTTGAGACCAGCCTGAGCAAGAGCAAGACCCCATCTCTACTAAAAATAGAAAGAAATGATCTGGACAACTAAAAAAATACATATATATAGAAAAAATTAGCCGGGCATGGTGGCGCATGCCTGTAGTCCCAGCTACTCGGGAGGCTGAGGCAGAAGGATCGCTTGAGCCCAGGAGTTTGAGGTTGCTGTGAGCTAGGCTGACGCCACGGCACTCACTCTAGCCCGGGCAACAAAGCGAGACTCTGTGTCAAAAAAAAAAAAAAAAAAAGACCAGCCTGAGCAACATAGCAAGACCCCGTCTCTACAAAAAATAGATGCCTATAGTCTCAGCCACTCAAGAGGCTGGGGCAGGAGAATTGATTGACCCCAGGAATTTGAGATTGCAGTGAGCTATGATCACGCCACTGCCCTCATGCCTGGGTGACAAAGTGAGACCCTGTCTCAAAAAAAACCCAAAAAACAAAAACAAAGCAAAAACAGAAACAAACAAAAAACAAACAGGAAGAACCCAAGACTCAAGAGAATCTTTCTCAGTCACGCAGGCCGTCAGTGTAAGAACTGCAAATGAAGCCAGGTCTTCCCACACTGCATGCCTGTCCCACTGCCCCATAATATCCCTGCATAGAACACCTGAGCAGGTGCCAAAAGCCATGCCAGCCTCCCCTCCCTGGAGTCAAGGCTGAATCCTCCAGGCGCAGGAGCCAGGCGCTTCCTTCTGCTGCAGAAGCTGCTACTACCCGACCAGCCAAGTCATTTAATCAGGGTTTCTCTTTCGCTTCAGACGCCGTTTCCCATGGAACATCATCCTGTTGACCCTCTTTGTGAGTCTCGAAGGGTAGCAGGAGGGTGTGGAGATGGTTTGAGGGAGGGCTGGTCCCAGGGAAGGGATGGGGACACCATTGCGGAAGGATGTCCCTGGCTGTCCCCTCACCTCATCCTGACCGCTCTCAGTCTCCTCTGTGGCTGCCCCTCTCCAGCTTGGTCACATTTACCCCCAGCTCTGGGAGGCCACCACGACCATTCCCCCAGGGCCCTGCCTTTCTTTCTAAGTGTTTTTCACTCTTATTTCTCTCTTTCCCTTAGACTTTTGCCATGGGCTTTATGACGGGCACCATTTCCAGGTACGTTCAGGGAGGGACAAACCACTACACTCTTGGGAAGCGTGTACTGTGGGGGAGTGGGGTGTTCCTGGGCTGGCAAGAGCCTTCTGGAAGTGGTGATTTTGAAGTCATTTGTACATGGCTCATGCCCCTGGCTTCTCTTAACACCTTCTTTCCCCCCAGTATGTATCAAACCAAAGCTGTCATCATCGCAATGATCATCACTGCTGTGGTGGCCATTTCAGTCACCATCTTCTGCTTTCAGACCAAGGTGAGGACATGGGGGCCCTTCCTTGGCCACCCCCACTTTCTTATCAGACCTGGCCCTTTGGGCCTGGCACTTGAACAGGCCTGGGTGGGCCCAGAGCTCAGTGCACTAGGATTTCCCTTAGAGACCTGATCTTTCCCCATCATCTGCACCTATAAAACTCCTTCCTGTGTCTGCCCTTAGAATGTCATGGTCGCTTTCATGCCCCCTACGAGGCTGTACTGGAACTCCCTGGCAGGGGCAGCAAGGCCAATCTGGCTGGGCTGCTGGTTGGTGGCAGTCATCTGACAGGTGCCCTTTTCCCCCTTCCTGGCAGGTGGACTTCACCTCATGTACAGGCCTCTTCTGTGTCCTGGGAATTGTGCTCATGGTGACTGGGATTGTCACTGGCATTGTGCTGTACTTCAAATATGTGAGTGTCCCAGGAGACCTGGGGTCAGTGAGCCCAGTGCTCAGAGCAGATTTCCTATATAGCATGGTGTAGCGGGCCCCCTCCCAGGCCCCCAAGGCCTCTGGGCAGGCTCTGACCTCCAGATCCTGGCTAGCAAGGGTACCAACACAGAAGCAGCATTCTGTGGTTGGGGCTGTAATCTCTCTTTGGCCCTGGGAGGTACAGCACCTGAAGCCGGGGACAGGATCACTGAGTTCCTACGGGAAGGGGTGGATTAGATCCATCTGACAGCTGAGACCAGGTTCCAGGAGGTAGACTGAGAGAGGAACCCAGAGGACCGAGAAGGTGGGCTTGGGTGGCAGGGAACTTAGGGATCTCTGGATCCAATTCCATCTTTTACTCCAGTCAGCTGGGGAGGGTATGAGCCCCTAGGCTGAGGGAGAACAGTACTGAAGGGGCAGGATGTGAACACGAGGGCTGCCTGCCCACTTCACCACGCCAGCCCTGCCCTCTGTGGACAGGCTGCCCCGTGGGTGCCCCTGATTCTAACACTTCCCAAAGTGGCTGGGGAGCCTCCTTCCCAGCCCCCCCTTCGTTAGTTGGTCCCTCCCAGGCTGGGCCACAGGAACCACTCTGTTGAATGCTGACTGTGACAGGGTCTGCCCCGTCCAGAGCTAGAACTCAGCCGCCTTCTTTTCTCCAGAAGTATGGTGGACACCTCAGTACCTTGACTAACTTTGGAGACTGGTTTGGCTAAAAGATGCTGTGATTAGTTTTAGTTTTAATTAATTTTTTTTACATTTACCTTTTTAAAAAATTTGTGCAAATGTTTGGGGTACTGTGATTGGCTTTATATGGCCGTTGTAGGATGGCCACTGCTTTCTCTGTCAAGTGTATCACCATTCTTAACATCTTGCAGGATCTAGAAAGGCAGTAGTCTTTCTAGTTGTCTAGCAGGAAAGCTAGCTTCCTAGCTCTACCCACTCTCTTGCTAGAATCCCAGGGAGGAGCTGGGGCTGAGGGCCTGCCTTGGTCTGTGCTTTGCTAAGGTTTCTAATGCCACCCCCTGTCCTCCCTTCCCAGGTTTACTGGCTCCACATGGTCTATGCCGCTCTGGGGGCCATTTGTTTTACCCTGGTGAGTAAATCCCTGCCCCACTCTAGGAAAGGAAGCTGAAGGGATGGAGCATGAATTTAGGCTGCTTGGGAGGCAGGGAATGGAGCTATAGCTGGCCTTCTCCCCACTGTCAAGAGGTCCCACTGATTTTTCTGGGCATTCCCGCCATGTCTTGTTCACGTTGCCTGCTATTGGATCACTCGGTAGGCCATTATCATAGATCACAGTGTGTCTTTCCTATTCTATACTGTGATATGCTTGAGAGTATAACCCACGTGTTATGCTGTTCATTACTGGGTCCCCTAAGCACACTGCATGGCACATAGGCTCCTAGGACAAATCTGCTGACCAGAAATGATCTTTGCAGGCCGAGCGTGGTG